AATTCAGTCCTGTGTGACGAAATTGATACTTTTACAAAAAAATTCTTAGTTGATGCCATGGACAGTAGAAAGAGGTGTACAGATAATATTTAATATTTTTCCAGTGTACTTCTTATATTTTAGTTTTCTTATTTTTTGTTGTTGTTGCTATTTTTAGATGTTTTTTGTTGTTGTTATATTTTGTTATCTTAGTTCATGTAACTTAATTTCTTTTTGTCTATCAAAAGTTTTTTATCCATAAGTCTTTGAGTGAAATGTATTTTTTATTTGGTGCAGCTCCTAGTTTACATAGTGAGCCCCTGTTACAAAAGGGAAGCAATAAATAAATAAATAAATAAATAAATACACAGTAAGCAAACTGTTTCTGGTTCACCAAGAAAAAAAATGATAGTAATTATGTTTTTTTGACTGAGTTGATAAGCCAGCAACGGCCACTTATAGCGAATAATATTAAACATTCTGATTACAATGTATATCACCAGATTATGCTGCTGGTGTATATTATGGAAGGTAATATTACCTTCCTTGTGTATATGTGCACCGATGGCTATAAACCAACAACCGTATATTAAAAGCGACTATGGCCTCTACCCAGCATGAGATTTTAATTGGATCGAATATTTTAAAGGGCGGCAGTCGTCGTGTCGCGTCCTGTTCGATATGGGACTCATAGCTGAAACGGGGTAGTACATAATTTAACTACAGTTAAAGGCTACGCTGGGGATGGTGTGAACATTTTATAACTATCATTTTTTTATGAATCAAAGTGACTGGTTAAATTCAAATTGATCAATCCAGAAACGGTATGGCGACATCATCGTGAGTTCTAATTAATATTAATGAGCTTGTTCAATATCACCCAAAATCGACCAGCTCTTCATTTGGAATAAGCGGGTGATCACAGTTACAATGTCACTTGAAGGCTTGCGTGCGCAATAATTATGAATTTGAATGAAAGCTGACGATCGGTATTCACAAATTGCTATAAATATGTTTATATATTAAGGTAAAATACTTAAAATATGTTGGAATTTATTCCTATAGAGTAGCTCTTGCACGGTTTCGATGTTCTTCTCACTGCCTTCGCATTGAAAGAAATCTTGGTGTAATTGAGGGAGACGAACGTATATGCCCTCTTTGTGACATAGATGAAATTGAAAATGAGTTTCACTTTCTTCTTATTTGCCCATATTACCATGAATTGCGAACCTCGTACTTACCCAATACATTTTATAATACCCAGTCTTTTGATAAATTTATAGAACTTGTTACTTCTCAAAATTCTGACATTTTACAACCACTGGCTGCATACATCTTTCATGCATTGAAACTTAGGAACGAGATGTGTGATTTTATTTAAATATTCTTTTTGTACATGTAAATACTTTTATGGGCCGATGGCTTTGAATTTGTAAATAAAGACCATTGATTATAAACTAAGATACAACTGTCTTCATTTTACTGTATTCTGGGCCGATACAGCAAGCCTGGAATATTTGCATTCGCTGTTAATAAAATATAAATATATAAGTGTTTAGTACTTGAAAATGACTATTGACAATCCATATTGAAAAGTATTATATATGTTCAAAACAAATGGAAAAAAAATGAACAACGATAATCGAACGGTTTTTCTTTAAAACAACTCCGAACGTATAGGAAGTTTAAATGCAATCATATCAAATTGCCTAGTTACGCTAAAACTACGATTTTAGTAACTCACATCAAATTATTGTGACCAATTGTTCAACATTGAAATAGGACGACACAAACAACACATCTTTATAAAGAACAAAATTTGCAACATGTGAAACCACGATCTTATTGAGAATGGCATTCATTTTTTAATGGAATGTCATCAATATAAAACCCATGGCACAAAACTGTTCACATTGACTAAACAACATTTTAACAGCAAACCAATGAACTAACAATTCATCTTATTACTTCTAAATGCTGTGGAAGAGTTAATTTTTCACTGGGTTTTAATTTTGCATATTCCAGTCGCTGACTGGAAAATGCGCCAAATTTTAAACCCAGCGAATATGTAAAATTTAGCATAGAACACATTATCTAAATGATAAAACCATGAATTTCAAACCCACTGAATATGCCTGAAATGCTAAATCAGTGAATTTTACACCCAGTAAAAATTAGTCATTTTACAGTAACATATGTGCATTCAAGTCGCACAGTTCTTCACTTGTCAACAAACCCTGAACTCAGTACATTTGTTGATATCTTTATCCTTTATCCTTTTGAGTGTTTTCATTTGTTTTTGTAACCATTGCTGTTTCTCCGTGGAATGCGTACTAGGTGTGTCTAAATGTTTACAATAAATATGCTCCTTACATGTATAGTCAGTGATTTTTTCAGCATGGCGAGGAACCATTAGTTCAACATTTTTACTGATACATAGTTATACTTTAATTTTGTACAGATGAAAAGAATGGAAACAAAAGGGGACTAACAACCTAAACAACTACAACAATAAATAAATGATTTATTAAAAGCGATAAAAATATTAGAATTCGAATATCTAGTATGTGGTTGTTAGAAAGCATGGCAAATAAGATAAAAAACATTCGACATAAATTTAGCAAGTTTCTTTTTGAAGTAAATTGGAATGTAATATGTCTTGCAGTATTTGGAGATTTAGGGTGGGCAGAAATCAATTATAATCATAACAAATCGCAAATACAGTATATGGATAGATTACAGAGAGTGGATGATATATTTTTTCTGAATGAATCCTGTAAAACAAGTCTAAAATTATATACTAGTAGATAAAAAAGTGACAACACCCTAATTGACAATGAAAAATATAATAATGGGACAAAACACTATGCAGATGAAAAGTTTCTACAAAATAAATGAAATGAAACGCTTTAATGAAACTATCCAGAATATTAACTTTCTAGAACACTATAGCTGTATTGAACTAATACAAATTATACTAAATATTCCTGTATGATCATTCATTGACTGGAAGAAAAAAAAAACAGGACAGGAAACATACAAGGGATGTAAGCTGTTTAATTGCGGACAGGAAGATATTTATCACTTCCCTTTCAAGCAACTAAATTCTACTTTACTTAGTGCTGACGAATAGAATACAGAAATGTGCTAGAAAACTATTTATTGTAGAAAGCTTCTTTTCGAAGCACGAAATTTTAATTTTTTATCATGATTGATATTGTAATGCGCGCTTCAGTGACGGGTTGTGATAATGAATTATTATTTGGGAAATTGTACATCAAAAGGAAACACATATATGGACATGCAGAGACTGAACTGTGTATAGTTTTGACGACTGTGTGTATTTGTTTATTAATAAGTGTTAGTATTAACTAATCTTATTAACATTGACTTGGCTCCCCGGCCTTTCCTGAAATATAGAACCATTTCTAGCTTGCAGTCATGCTTCTGTAATTTACACATGTTGTTCACAGTGCATTTTCCGTTTGTCAAATTTCAGGTGGTAACCATGACGAAATTTTCTTGTCATATTTACTTTATAATTATAATTATATACGCTAGCGCTCCCATGCATCACATGCGAAAGAAAATCGGGAAAATTTAACTGATCGATTGTATTTGAATTATAAGCCATCAAGTGACTGTGCTTTATCAAATATATTCACCCACCAAATATTTAAATCATTATATTCTTTAGTTCCCGGTCAATACAGTTTTTATTCTCTGTCATTTTTATTGAAAGATGTTTTACGTTGGCCATGTACGTTCTAGAAAATCTATGCTTTTGTTTTTCACATATTTATCTTACGGTGGCGCCCTAACCGAGTATCACATATTTCAAAATGGCCGCGCCCACTTAAAGTTATTTTGTCAATGATTGTATATTGTGAAACTTGTTTCACCTGTCATATATATATATATTCTCTGTATATAGAAATGGTGAACCGTTTTGTAGTAGTGTGAATCAGTAGTGTTTGCAGTATTTTCACGGATTGCCGATAGAAGCTGTTTTGCGGTTTGTTTGGCCTGGTATACGACGTGGCACCGCCAGCTGCGACCACTACTCTATGATGTGATTTGCCGACATTTCCACGTCAACGCGTGATGACGGTCAGTTCGACGTGATTTGCCAACATAAAAGGAACATGGCTTGGGCTGGTTTCACCGATGACCAGCTCCGACAATTAAAAACACCAGGAGCAGAAGGTGAGCGGACATTTTAACTACATTTTAAGTAAATGACTACCAACTTACAAAGGGACCTCCCAGAAAATTCTACCGTACTCTAATCGCACTGTCACAGTGCAGATAGATAGATAACACAGATGTGACACGGAAAGCTTTTATTTTTGAAAGCATATATAATAGAAGTCACAATGTAGCCTTTTGGAACATCAAGATCCAAGTTATAGTAGGTTATTTTTTTAAACGTGTATAAACATTTGATTTAAATTGACACCTATTTTATTAATTAACGACTGAATTAATATGTTATACATCTCGGGGTTTGATTTCTACTTTTAAATAATGAATGAATGAGGGCTGATAAATCTCTGAGTGTGAAGATAAATTGTCAGAATACATAATAGGTCATTCTAGAAATTAATTTATATAGTTACCGATAGATTGCAGGTTCTGTTAAATTATAATGTCAGGGTTTACATTGACTGGCATGCGAGTACATATATGTGATGGTGATATCGGACCAACTTCAGAGTCTGTAAACAAAATCACTGGTTTAAAACAAATAGAGATATAAGTGCAATGGAGAATAGAATAGAATCTTCTACTGCATCCATTTAGAAAATAAAATATAATAATGTTCCTTTCTCAGTTCTTCATCTTTATTAAATTTATGTCAATATCCAAAAAAAATACAAATTTTGCAATAAAGATTATTATTATTACATTTCTTAATCTGGTAAATAAGCAATGAAGAGTAGCTCGCAATTAAATCGATCACCACAGACATATAATGTGATTAATTAATTATGAAGATTTACATTTGGACAAACAAAAAAGTAAACAAAACTTAAATTGTGTATTTATAACACCCTGGAAATAATTTTACCCTTAGGTTTTGTTTATGCAGGCAGTAAACATATATTGGTCATATCAAATATATTATACATTTGTTACTGTTAACTTATGGCGTTTCAGAAAACAATAATTCTGGTATCTGCATCCAAGAACTATGCAAACTAGAACACAAATTTACAATGTTATTGGATTCTGTTTGACCTCACCAGCAGGGTAATGTAAAAAAAAAAAAAAACGTCTTCATCCAAAAATATATTCTTGGATTCTATTGGTTTGCTACTACATGCAATAATATGTGAAGATATTTGTTAAGGTGTCTGAAAGCAAAAAAGAGCTGTTACTACCTTTCTCAAAATCCAATCCAGAATGAAACAAACATGCAGAAATTGCATCAGACAAGTGTGCATGTGAAAGCGAATAGTTAGCTGAATTTCTCATCTCAATGTTTGTCTACCATTAAGGTTATTAACAAAATAAATAAAAAAATAAATAGATCGTATACATTGCCTCAGATAATACCTTCGCTGTACGATGTACTCAGACATAATTCGCGGTTTAAATATATAAAAAAATCTTAATTAATAATTTTATCCTTTAATTAAGTGTGCAAAGCAGACATGTTTTAATTTTTTTTTTTGACCCACAGATGATGAGGGATACGTAACAAAACAAAACAGAGCAATGGCATTGGCAGCGAAGAAACGACAACAACAACACAGGGAAAGACTGCTACAAGCCCAAAGACAGAGACAACTTCAGATGAACAAACATATAAATGATGACCAGAAACTCTCAGTTCCAAAGAAACCTAAAGCAAACCAAGTGCAGCAGAGCCAGGTGAATAAGAAACCACAATCTGAGAGAAAGGTTCGTTTTGAAGAGGACGGTCGGGGTGACGGTATTCAAGAAACAGAGGTGAATAATGAAGCTTCAGAAGAACATGAAGAAAAGAAGGAAATTATCGAGTTTGATGAAAAAGAAGTGCTGAGGTACAATAGAGTATTTTATAAATAACTATAGTCAAAGTTTTACTGTACAGTTCAGGACTGAAAAGCATAGACATTTTTAAATATAAAATTTTATAAATTCAAAATGGCTCTTAAAATTTCAATTGACCAATCAAGCAATGATGTTGTGACATCATAGATAGTATGAATATTAATGAGTTAATCTCTGTCGTCCAATAAAAAAACACTTGAATACTTGGCATACTTGAATAGCTGTTGAGACGTGAACACAGTATTGACATAGACAATGTTGGCCTTTTGAACCAATTACAATTACATATTTGAATGAAAGCTGAGGGTCGATATGTATTAATATTTATATTTCTGTTTATAAATTAAGGAACAGGTTTGTGTGGCACACTGTATTCTGTTATTTCCTCCTAAGAGACAGCCTTACAATTTACTCATCAATGTAATGTTCTGTATTAGCTGATTTGCTGTTACTTTTTTTCTTATTTTAACCTTTTTTCTTTACAAACTTGGTTCTGTTTTCATTTAAGCCGAGAACTTTCCAACTTTGAGAAAAAACAGAAACAACAGAAGGAAATGGAAGAAGCAAATATAAGAAAAAAAACCATGCTTGCAAAAGCTATTGCTGATAGGTAAGTTACCAGTATGTCCTAGACATCCTATGACATGTGTTAACATTGACAAGACTGATTACCGGTAGCTGTATTACCGGTATCCATAAATAAGATTCGATTTGCATAATTTCATTCTGGGTATTTCCAATTTGTAATAATCCCTTTTCTAGAATATCATATGGTTTTAGCATACTGTAAAATGATTAATTATTCACTTGGGTTTTAATTTTGCTTATTTCGCTGACTGGAAAATACGCTAAACTAAAACCCAGTGAAAATGTAAAATTGAGCATAGAACACATTAAATGATAAAACCATGAATTTAAAACCCACTGATTATGCCTGAAATCAGTGAAATTTAAACCCAGTGAAAATTAGTAACTTTACAATATTTCAATCAGCATTTTTACTCAAACAAGTGTCTACTTGCTTACAATTAGTTGCTCTGAGTACAGTGTCACAGTATGGTTGCAGTACAGTATGGCTGCAGTATGTTTCCATATTGGAATGTTATGTTAATATACTTTTATATCACTCATGTCAATGCATAATTGGATGGATGAATTAGCATATGCAAGCTGATGAAAAATACTGGTTAATTCATGGTTTTGATGTTCTTAATAAGATTCAAACCTGAATATTACACTGATAGTCACTCGACAAATATTTGCGTGTTTGTGAAAA